TACTTCGTAAGAAAAATTGGGGCGACGCTAGACTCGATTGCTGGACCCGTGGGGGACGTCTTGCTGTGATAAAAAGTGGATTGGAGCCTCACAAAATAACTAAATTTACTGACGATTATTTAGACCAATGGAGTTATTTTTATACTGGTGCTTACGCTGCGCATACCAATAATGGGCAATGGATCACAGTTAAAAATGAGTCTTTCCCTTTCAACAAGTACTTCTCCCTGTGGGGTCCGTACGAGCCTTCAGGAGATGGTTGGTGCGGCGATCTGATTTTAGGAGAAAAATGGAATGATTATTGGAAAGGGAAAGGCTGGCGAATTAATGATGGAGACTGTTTAACAAAGGAAGCATACATCTGCCAAAGGCAAAAACACGTTTCAAGTAAGAAAGTTGATTATTGCCACTTAAAATATATGTCTCGTCCAAGACATTGGTTGGAAACGTCTTTGGAATTACTTGTAGTTTGTTGCGCATCATATTTATGATTCTGGAAAACTGCGTCATGTAGTTCTGCGTGATAAAAATACGTGTACAAGTAATTATTAGTAATAGATTAGCAGATTAGCAGTTAGTTGCAAGTTATAGAAACTGGTTACAACTTCCATTAAACAGCTTTTAACAACAAGCGCTTCGAATGGTTTAGCGTTGAAATTGTGTTGTTGTTGTTTTTTTTTGTTTTGTTTTTCGTTCAGTGCTGATTGTTAAAGAATAGCAGCTGTTACTTCAATTTCGACGGCCATTGAGTGTTTATATTTTTTTCAAATGTCATTTTGTCCAAGGATCTTGTGAAGATGGCTGGTTCGAAGCGGATGGAATATGTTTTAGAATATCTGGAAATCATACTTACGTCACCTGGGACACAGCCCGTGAACGTTGCTTACAACAGGGGGGCGACTTAGCCATTGTTGATTCTGAGATTAAAAGGCAAATCATCGCCAGCTATCTCACTGTGATAGATAATCTATTCCCGGATGTTAACGTACAAGCGTTTATAGGAATTCGAAAGTTCGGCACCTGGCAGTGGTTAGGGGGAAACATAATCTCAACCAACATTTGGCACAGTGGATATCCTCATGCTCTTTGGAGTGGAGAGTGTGGTGCTCTAGTTAGGGGCTCTTTGGAATGGAAGCTTTTGCAGACATCTTGCTCTTACACGCTAGGCTACATGTGTGAAACACACGAGAGTAAGTGCTTTTGCATGGTCAGTGTTATTGCATGGTTGTATTGTGACACATAAACCCTCGGCAAATAAAGATTCGCCTTTTATTGATTTTCTGTATGATTAGTAAATTCACTTCACAGAAAAGATGACCACCTGAGAGCTAATATGCCAACGCAAACAGCCTAGTAATTGTGAAATACCAGATTTGGTACAATATTTCATTAGCATGTTCACATTTGTCCTTCAGTTCGTTTCTTGCTGTCAGCAAGAGAGGACTAATATTCTCAGTGATGTATGAAGAGGTTCATCAAGTGAAGAACTAAAAAGATTATGACATACAGGAGAATCGGACGTGAATAAGCCATTTCCACGCTTTTTTCCTCTGTTTCAAAACAAGCCCTGGTGCACAACCTTTCATGTATAAATGAGTTTGATTTGCGAGACAATGAACATGTAAGAAAAACTAATTTTAATATGACAGGTTGTGTACCAAGACTCGTTTTGAAAGAGAGGTAAGAGCAACTCGGAAATGGCTTACTATGGCACCATTGACTTACAAAAGCTTTTCAGTTGATTTTGGACATGACTTCCACTATTTTGTCGAAACGCAATTTACAAACAATAGCTCTTTCAAGAACCATCCTCACCCAGACGGTCACACTATACAAACTACTGATACTCCTGGGTTTAAATCGTTATACGTAAATACGTATATGTAAATGCAAACTGGGGAGGAAGAGGAAAACCATAGAAAATGACGTGAAAGTCAGGAGGGTTATAACGCTTGCCAGAATGGCTAGGTCTCGAAATACTGCCTGGTTCATTCCCATACAGTAACATGACGAAGGACGTCTCCAAAACAGGAGATGAAAATACCCAAAAGGGTCCTTATGATTGGTTTTCCTATCTTTGCGATTTTAGGGAACTATGTATCCGGCCGACCGACAAGCCACGTTTCCCCGGTTGAAACTATTGGTAACTCATTCCACGTTGTGGATGGCAACATCGCTTCATGCTTCACGATCAAAGGGAAAACTGTACGTAACTCAAATCATTCACAGCATTTCACAGGGTAGGCGGCATATTCAAAGTTTGAAAAAATGCTGCCAATGTCTTGTAAAAGTAGCACTCGCGTTCTAAGTTGTTGCCAGACTAACGCTTTGGATACTCCAGTAGCAGATCAATTTTAGTAACAGTAGGTAAAATATATGAAGACGGGCAGACTATACAGTATGGTACATACATACCAAGATATGTTATGCTGAAAGCCAAGAAAATACTATTTTAATTTTTTTCAAAGGGCCAGCGGGTTTGGTGGAGTGTAACTCTGAAAAGTGCAGCATTTGTTTACAAGATCTGGATCATTAATAGACCAGACTGTTGTCTGACAGAATTGTCAGACCTTCAGGTGATTTTGAGGAACAACGAGATCTCCGCATTAAAGGCGGACTGCGAAGTTTACGAGTGGAAAGCGGAAAAAAGAAGACTACTGATGTGTGAACCATCGATATTGGCAACAAACGTAACTATATTGGCTGACGAAGCAGAAGTTCTCAGCCTCTGTGAAGTTTTAATAACCGCGACAGGTGAGAATCGTGCTACTAAAGATGTATGGAAGGGAAAGCTGAACGGGAAAGTGATTTAGTCGCCATATAGCAAGGGTTCTTAACAATTTCCGCTTACTTTTTGCAGACAAGAAAACAACTGTTCATGGTGTTCGCCAGGAACTTTGGTATAAAATACGTTTGGGAACGATAGCAAGTTTGCGGGACGATAAGAGGTTTCCAAACAACCCTGATCTTGTGAACATTCTTCAAAACTTTGATGCTCCGTATAATTTTCACTCAAGTTACGGGCAGCGTCTGACAGCATATCTTCAGGTAATTCTCTTAACCTACATCGATAAAATGTACCTTCATAGAATGTTAGCTGTAAAATGGTTTTCTCCCTGTATGAAACTTCTTTAGGAAATTCGTTCTAACGAAATTTTTGTGTGGAAATGCAATCATGCAAACGTATTTTCATCAGTCGCCAGTAAACCTGATTTTACAAAACATGCAACGATAACCAGTTGGGTGCTTGCAAGCCAATTACCAGCGGTTAAACAACCTCAATTTTCTTTTTTTTTTTTCCTTCCTCAAGGTTCCAGAAAGTGGTAATTACACATTTTATGTTGCCTGTGATGATGCTTGTGAGCTATGGCTCGACACATTTGAAAATAGCGACAGCGATGAAGAAC